CCAGCTGTTTTGCCAACTCTTTCTCATGGTGGCTGCATAGCTCCAGCAACTGCTTCCTGTTGAGGCTCTAAGGAGTCCAGGAAGGGAGGCAAGGAGTGGCAAGTAGAGCCTGGTGAGGCGCCCCTTGACGTGAGTGACATCAAATTAGCCACACCCAGTCACATGACCACCTAGCCACACCCACCCAACTGGTGATTAGGCAAATTATATTAGTGATCCACGGGATATAAAATTATGAATTTAGTGGTCCCTGAGGTCCGAAAGGTTGGTGACCCTTGACCTATACCATTCCAGACAAATGTTTGTCCAGTGTCTTTTTGAAAGCCTTCAGTGATGGAGCATCCACAACTTCTGAAGGAAAACTACTCCATTGGTTTAATTGCTCTCACTATTAGGAAATTTATTCTTAGTTCTAGGTTGCTTCTTTCCTTGGTTAGCTTCCATCCATTATTTTTTATCTTGTCTTTTGGTGCTTTGGAAAATAGTTTGACTCACTTGTCTTAGTCGGCATCCCTCAAATATTGGAACAGGACTATCATGTCTCCTCTAGACCTTCTTTTCATTAGGCTAGTCATACCTAATTTCTGTAACTGTTCTTGGTATGAAATTTGGAGCAAAGGTGAAAGAATAGCCCTCGAGGCAAGTTTCTTGGATTTTTTTTTTTTAATTTTCAATTTGTCCACAGGCTATGGAGGACTTTCTAGTCAAGGTTAAGATCCATGAAACAAAGACAAAGACAAAACAATTATAAGTATAATCTTTATTGTCATTGTACTTAAATACAACGAAATTGGTTAGACTTGATTTTCATAGTGTAACCCACTCTTACTTGTGGTACTTTATGGTAGTGATGGCGAACCTGTTGCGCAGAAGCATTGCACGCGCTTGTCCGGGTTATGTTCTGAAAAAGCTGAACTTCTGGGTTCTAGTGCGTATGTGTGCTCAAAGATCAGCTGGCCAGCGTCCATGTGCAGGCTGGTTTTTGGCACTGCTGTGCACATGAAGGGATCATGCTCCGGAAAAGCTGAATTTCTAGGTTCTGGCACCCATGTGCACCCAACAATCAGCTGGCCGGCATTCATGCACACACTGGTTTTTGGGATTGCCGCGTGCACAAGGGACAGCTGGTCGTCGCGCGCATGCGCATCAGAAACCCCGAAGACAAAAAGGCAAGGCTGTGTGTGCCGGCTGACATGGCTTCGTGTGCCACTTTGGGCCCGTGTGCCACAGGTTCACCATCACAGCTTTATGGGGTCTTCTGGATCATGAGACAGGAATAGAAGAAGCAAAGCCAAGCTTCCGATACACAGAGAGAAAATAGAAGTCTTCCTTTTATTTCCATGGAAAAAGGAAACCCATATACTCCCAGGAATACAAATAAAGATAAAACAGTGCTGTTGTTTTATCTTTCAAATAGAAGATAAGAAGAAAGGAAGAATCTGTGAAAATATCAGTACGATAAATGCCGATATTGTGCTGTGGCCTTTTGCAATTAAATATTCTAGTATATCAATAACAAAATCAAAACATGATTCCCCCCCTCTCTTTTGCATTTCTTTAATTTAGAAGCTATTTGTTCTCAGGTTGAGAGGAGATAATTGAGGATAGGAAATGGGCTTTAGTAATATTTTTTTCCTCTTTTCTATCAATCTTATTCGTGTTTTCTGTTAAGCAGGTAAGTGAAGTGTGTAAATGCCCCAGCAGGAAGGCCAAGCCTAAAAAACTGAGTTATGCAAAGTAGCACTACGGATTTCAGCCGAGCTGCCTATTTCTTATGATATGTGAGAAAATTAAACTGAACCGTCCACAGATGATATTTTAAAAAAAAATAGAAGTCCTGCAAAGAAATCCAGGTGTTTCTTTTCTACCACTGTATTGTCTCTCAATAGGAGTTTGAAATTGCCATTATGCGAGGCAGTATAAATGTTTATAGTTGGGCCAGTAGCTGTATTAATGCTATCTAATACATAAAACAAATTATATACCTTTAAAGAATTAGATTAAGAATAGCTGCTTGGCAGCATGTGTGGTTTGCAACATGTTAAAATGAAAACATTAAAATATCAAACCAACACAGTCCAGGGCATCAACAGAAGGATAGAATCAAGAGAATGTGAAGTGTTAATACCACTTTATAAGGCCTTGGTAAGGTCACACTTGGAATACTGCATTCAGTTTTGGTCGCCACAATGTAAAAAAGATGTGGAGACTCTAGAAAGAGTCCAGANTGGTGGGCTTTGCCGGTTCTCCGAACTACTCAAAATTTCCGCTACCGGTTCTCTAGAACCTGTCAGAACCTGCTGAATTTCACCCCTGCCTACTATTCATTACATTACTCATAGACATTACCCATAGACTCAAAATAGGCATGAGGCTAAGTACATCCCTATGTTGCAGTTCTGCTCCTTTATGGAGATTGCTATCCTTAACTTTTTAACTTTAACTTTTAATAAATTTATATGCCGCCCAATCCCGTAGGACTCTGGGCGGCTTACAGAAACAAGTTAAAATAAGGAGTTAAAAAAACTCCCACCCAGAGCCACCACTGGAGCAGAAAAATCAAGTCATTTCTGGACTTTCCAACAATGTAGGCTTCCTACATTGAATTCAATTTCTGGTTTTGTATCAATTTCTGCAATTTTCAGATGTCTGATCAAGATTTCCACTTTGTCACTGGCTTGGGTTATGTTGAGTTGGTCTTCTAAGTAGACTTTTATCAATATTAACTTTAAGTATATAATTTACATTACATAGACTATTGAACATCTACCTTATGCTAAAATCGTTGCATGCAAAGTGTGATCAATATGTGGATGTTTAAAAAAGATCCAGCAGATGTCATTTACCTTCCTAGTTTATTCCTAGCTTAATCCTTAATCATCCCTTGAGCATTCTCAATAATTTTACCAATTAACATTCTGCATTTGGCACAATTTCTGTAATTGCAAGAGCCATATCAAGTTTGGGATGGTATGGTGAGAGTTGGCCTTCAAAAACAGACAATGCCAAGATCCAAGATATAAAATTAATGCTGTAAACTTGTGGAAGACTTAAGATGTCCAATTCTAGGGATGTGCATATGTAGAAGAAAGAATCTGGGTTGGTGTGAAAAGGGGGATCAGCCAAGAATCCCTACAAAGCCACAACAGAAGTATGTCCAATCCACCTTGAGTACCATTGATCCTCCTCTAACTCCGAGCATGTGCCAACCATTAGTTGAGAAGATTACTTGATAGACTTTTAGCAATAAATTGGCATTTATAATAAATCACATGTGGAACTGCTCTTTTGCGTTTTACAGTATACTTCAGAAGTTATTTGGAAGATGACCTTCAGAACTTACATGATTGCAACCACAACACCTTCCTACTATTCACTTAAGTAGCCTGACACTTTGCAGGCATTGCACACAAAAAGTACAAGTGGACCAGGGATGGGTTGCACATGCTTATTTGCACAAAAATAGGTCTGTGCATGTGCAGAACATTAAAAAAGAAAAAAATACATTTGTGCAATTGCAATTGTGAAAATCAAAATGGCGCCCCGTAGGAGAACCAATTTGGGGGCGTAGCAGGTCTGGGTCTCTGCTGGTTCCAGTGACCCAGGCCGCCAAACCACTACCGGTTCGGCCAAACCGGGCTGAACTGGTAAGAACCCACCTCTGAAGTGGACATATAAATGTAATAAATAAATAGAAAAACAGGTACCACTGCTTCAAGATCTGCATCAACAATAATGAAATAATGCTAAGGAATCCCAAAGATGAATGAGATCAGTAAATAGGATTGCTAAATAAATAATAAACAAATGGAGCTGCAAGAGGCAGGACGAATTGCAATTATGGTACATAATTATGGCACTAGGGACAAGTGATTAAATTTCTTTTGATGTTTTCCCAGTTTAATCAATCAACAAAGGTTTGATAGCCAGATAGAGAAACAAATATCTATAAGTGGTTTCTGAAGATAGGTTGGATAAGAAATTAAGAAAGACTATCAAAATTAAGATAAAACTTTGTAGGCTGACCAAATGTACAAGAGAATGGTTGAATGCATAACCATGCTAAAGTTTCATGCTTTTCACAACATTACACGTAGTTTTCATCTCAGAAATATGGACAGCGTTGGGTACACCAGGAGAAAATATGCTGGGGGAAAAATGTGTATTGGAAATAAAAATACAAAATGTTTTCATTAAAAAATTGTATTCTAGAAAATACCCATGCATCTGAATATTTTGCATAGGAATGTTATGCAAATTCCTAAACTGAAAGCCAGATTAAAAGTGAGCCCATTAATTGCATCAAACTGTCCATATTTTCTTGAAACTTATTAAACTATTTATTTTATTTTCCTTCCAAGGTGGCTCCAGAATGGAACCGACTTAGACATAGAAAGTGATTACCGCTACAGTGTAATAGAAGGAAGCCTTATTATCAACAATCCCAGTGAATTAAAAGATGCTGGGCAGTACCAGTGTTTTACCACCAATGTCTACGGTAGCATTTTAAGCAGGGAAGCCTCACTTCAATTTGCATGTAAGTAACAATTTTGTTATCCCACTTTATCACCGTTTGGATAGAGATAATGAAGTCATGTTGAAACAATGCAAAAAAAAAGTCAAATTGCATCATGAAGAACCAGATAATTATATTCATATCTATGAATATAGGAATTTTTTTTATACAGGTGATCTTTGACTTATAATCATTCCTTTAGCAACCTTACAACACTGGGAAAAAAATGACTTACTCTATGACCGTTTTTCATACTTACAACCATTGCTGCATCCCCATGGTCATGTGATCAAAATTCAGACATTTGTCAACTGGCTCATATTTCTAATGTTTGCAATGTCCTGGGATTATGTGATCAGTTTTTTGTGACTTCTGACTAGCAAAGTCAATGGGGAAAACAGATTTAGTTATCAGCCATATTACTGGACTAGGGGAGACATGATAGCAGTGTTCCAATATCTTAGGGGCTGCCACAGAGAAGAGGGAGTCAAGCTATTCTCCAAAGCACCTGAAGGTAGGACAAGAAGCAATGGGTGGAAACTAATCAAGGAGAGAAGCAACTTAGAACTAAGGAGAAATTTCCTGACAGTGAGAACAATTAGTCAGTGGAACAACTTGCCTCCAGAAGTTGTGAATGCTCCAACACTGGAAGTTTTTAAGAAGAGATTGGACAACCATGTGTCTGAAAGGGTAGAATGTTTCCTGCCTAAGCAATGGTTTGGACTAGAAGACCTCTAAGTTCCCTTCCAACTCTGTTATTCTATTCTATTCTATTCTATTCTATTCTACTCTACTCTA